AGCCTGGAGAAGAGAAGGTTGTGTGGAGACCTCAGAGCAACTTTTCAGTATGTGAAGGGCCTACAAGGAGCTGGAGAGAGGGATTTTCTGTTAGGAGTTGCAATGACAGGACAGGAGGTAATGGGGATAAATTGAAAGAGGGAAATTTAGATTAGGTCTTAGGCAGAGGTTTTCCCTGTTCTGGTGGTGAGACCCTGTCCCAGGTTGCCCAGGGAGGCTGTGGCTGCCCCAACCCTGGCAGTGTTCACAGCCAGGTTGGATGAGCCTTGAGCAACCTGCTCTGCTGGGAGGTGTCCCTGCCCAGGGCAGGGGTTGGGGCTGGGTGAGCTCTAAGCTTCATCCCAACCCCTAATATTCTGTGATTCTATGAACAGTTGTTCTCAAGGCTGCACTGTGTCACACATGGATAATCCAGTGCCCTGCACCACTCCAGAAAAGCTGAGGGAGCCAGTGAGCCGTGAACTCTTTCTTGGCAGGAATCAATTAAGTCGTTGAACAAAAGTGACACAGAACTGAAGGCCATAAAACTTTGGCTGTGCGATGCCAATGCTGCAAATGCCTCCTGAGGCAGAAAATATTCCTGAAATATCCACTTCCAAATGTGCACAGGGGTCAAGGACAGGCTGCTCCCACCTCAGGGGAAGGGCAGAGTTAGACAGACACAGCAAACCCATGAAATGTGCTCACTGGAACATGCCACAATGTCTTTTGCTTCTTCCTGCAAACACATCGTGTGGGGTTTCCTGTCAGCAGCTTAGGGAACACAGAGATCAAACGAAACACAGTCAAGGGGTAATTTAAGAAAAAAACATCAAAAATAAACCAAAAAGACCACACAGAGAAACTGCAATGCTGTCCCATCCAAATTTTAGGATTATTGTATGAGATGAGGCAAAATTACCACATGAGGTCACAACAGATGTGAAAAATCAGGTCAAAATGACAGCAGAAAATTATGTTTCTGAAGAGAAAACACTTTCATGCTGGGAGAGAGGAGGCAATCCTTTCCATACCTCCAAAACCACCTGCCTTGAAGCAGGAAAACTGATCCCAGACCAAGTGCTATGTTTAAAAACACAAATGCAGCTATGGAAGTGGCAAGGCTGGAGCTGCACATTTCCACTGCATGGAAGCAGAACATGCTTTCTCCCTTTCATCACTGTTTTAGACCTAGGTTTGTATTTCCAGACCCTTCAACTCAGCAGCCAAATGCAACTTCTATTGGCATCTACCACATACACTATAATTCAGTTTCCAGCTCATCGGGTTCTATATGAAAAGGGCCAAACTCTCTGGAGAACAAGGTTACTTCACAGGCTTTAATTAATTGCGAAGGGAAAAGCAAGAGGAGCAGTGCAGTGAAGATTATTAGATCTACTTTCATCCAGGCACAGAAATCAGAGTTTTCTCACCTTATGAAAATGGAAGGAGGGGGAAAACAGCTTTACATAAAGTAGCCACGTGCACTGTTATGTCTATTAAGTAGAATCATGGAATCTCTGAGTGGTTTGGGTTGGAAGAACCTTAAAGATCACCTCATCCCCCCCCTGCCCTGGGCAGGGACACCTCCCACCAGAGCAGGTTGCTCAAGGCTCATCCAACCTGGCCTGGAACACTCCCAGGGATGGAGCAGCCACAGCTGCTCTGGGCACCCTGTGCCAGAGCCTCAGCACCTCACAGGGAAGGATTTATTCCCAATATCCAGCCTATCCCTGCCCTGTAGGCAGATCAGACCTCTGTCTCTCAGAGCCACTAACAAGAGCTAGCTGTTGGGATTTATGCTGTGGCCAGAGGGTCACTCCTGTCAGTCACCAGCAAACCCTAAGCAGTATCACAGGGACACCTGGAATCCTTCAGAGTGGCTCAGCCTCCAAAACCCTGAGGCACAAACTCCATAATTACAGTGTGCACAGCTGTCACTATCAAAGCAAGAGCTGACTCACAGAACCCATGCCTGACACATCTGAGAACCAGAACATCATTCACCTCCTCAGGCTTCATTCCTTGTCACTCCCCAGAGCCAAACAGCAGCTGAAAAAAAGGGAAACAAGCCAACACTTGGTGTTTAGCCATAGAACTTGCCTAGTTGCTTTGTCTTTCAGAGAAGAAAACTGGACACAGGGAGATTGCTAAAGATTATCAGAAGGTGCAAACTTGGATTTCTTTGTATACCGAGGATGTTTCTTAGTTCTTAAGGAACTTAGGAAACATCTGATTGACTTTTTATACCCAAAGTTTACCTACAAGCTGAACAGTGCCCCAACCAGAACTGGGAGATGAGCCTGTAGCTCCAGTAAAGAGCACATCAGTTATCATTCCAGATTTCCTTGGACAACAGGGCTTATGCTACCTCATTCTTTGTGCTCATCCATCTGCAGACTATTTTCCAAAGCAAATTTCAAGACAAAAGATTGGGGTTTAAAAACACAACAACCCAATAAGTCTTGTGCCTGAAGCACTGGAAAACAGGCAGTTATAGGAAAAAGTATCAGTAGGGAAGAGCTCATCTAAAAGCTCCTTGATCTCCTGCCTGCTCACTGACTGGGAAATTCATGCCAGAGATTCCTTCTCCCCCGCGTGCTTAGAAAAAATTTCCAGCAGACTAACACCTGCACTTGTCACACACATCCACTTTACAAGCTCTTTAGACCGAAATACACTAAATTATTTACTCCAGTGTAGTCAAGGAGTCAGAGGAGGTTTGGCATTTGGACATCCCATTCCTGAAACTGCCCAGGGAAAATAAAATCCAGCTGGCAGCAAGTACACCTGAGCAGGCAGAGCTGTGAGCAGGCTGTTCTGGCAGCCAAAGGAGCAGCTCAGCAGCACTGTCTGCTCCTGCTCTTCCCTACTCACCTTCCAGAGGTTTCCCACCCTTACATTCACCAACATAGAATCACTCCTTCATCTTACTTCCCAGAACTGGTCACTGGTGACAATTTAAGCTTTCCTGAGCCCTAGCCCAGCACTCACATTGGTGCTGTCCTGCTTCAGTCAGGGAACTTTCTGCTGGATGCCACCAGAGATCCCTCAGAGCCTGAATTATGCTCCAAAATGCTTTGCAGTGCCTGTTTTAGGCCAGGAAAGGCTACAGAGCATCTGCAGGTGTGGTGTGTCCCAAGCACACCTTGGGATCCAAGGCAGGGTGGGATGGGACCAAGCAGCTGGAAGAGTTAACCCACAGACCCAGCTCAGGTATGGTCACAACCACATCAGCTCTTCTAACTCAAAACAGTGTCCTGATCTCTGATGCTTTCATGCAAGAAAAACACTTTTGAGGAAAAAAATTGCATCAGGCTCTTTTAAAAAAATATTACATGTATTTTTAGAGTATTAAAACCTTAAGATATCAACTGGTTTTTGTTCCAAGCTGTAAAAGGTAAATATTTAGACTTAAAACAGGAAAAGAAATAGACCTCTGTTTGGTATGCCAAGTTCAACAGCACCTTCAGCCCTTCTGATTTTTCTTTCCAAAGGATTAGTTCCTTTAAAAACAGGTATCACAGTGCAGTTCCTTGGAAGCTTAACAGGATTAGATCTTTAGGTTTTACTCTCATACAGTAACTAGTGTTGGGGACAGACTGCATGTTTTGACAAAGTGTTCAATCATTCATTTCCATTTATTCAGGTAAAGCATTCTGAAATTTAGGGCTTTTCTGCTTTTACTTTCTGGCTAAGAGCTTGATTTGAAAAAAAAATAAATCCATACAGTTGTGGAAGACACTGTTTGAAGGAATTAACCTGCACTGGCAGCTCAGATGGCTTTACACCCAGTGCTAACCTAGCACAACTAGTAAGATGATAATCCAGTATGTTTAGTATTCACTCTGTTCCGAAGGTTTTTTTCCTCTGTGGATCAAACAATCCCTGGGAGACAGTGGAATCAGGTTCTGGCCTGGAGCTCAGTTTGTTCCCAGCTCTGAAATTAACTGCTCAACGATCCTGAACAAGTGTGTCACTGCCTCTGCCTGTGCCTCCCCTTCCCCTGACTGTCACCACTCCTCAGAGGGTCTCAGTGAGTTCCTACTGCACTTGCTATAATCAGACACCCATCTCCAAAGGGGCTGAGCTCAGGAGAGAAAAGTCTTCCTGAAGTGTTTTTGGTTCACTCCCTCATCAGGCCTTGTCCTCCCAATATCGAGTTTAATGTCACAACATTCCTTACTGGCTCGACCCATGGAGCACAGCAGCATTTCCAATCTGGCTGTCAAGCTGCTCACCTTGACCTTCAGAGACACTTGTTGTGACCCCACTCAAACCATCTGCTGTGCATATGGACACCTATGGAAGAGTTAAGCACTCTGTGTCCATGTCCATTGCTCTTATGGAGCTGATGCTCCAATCTGAGTCCATTCTAACAAGTTCTACACTCAGTGGCCTTTCCCCACCCCCTCCAGGTCCAAAGCAGTACTGAAATGTGATACAACATTAATGCCTTCTGCCAGGAGTGAAACCAAACCCCAGAACTGGGACAGAACAGCAACTTCTCACTGCTGATGTGGGTCAACAGATCAGGCAAGCACTTGACATCAAATCTGACAAAGACCTTCACCACCAACTCATCTAAAGAGGAGAACAGCCATTACCAAGCCA